GAGTTGTATTATCGACTTCACTGTTATTCACCGATGAACATCGGTATCATGATCTATATATAAGTCCAATTGGTTAGTAATTCAATCCTTTTAAGTAAATTAATTTAAAATAATGTAAGTGAGTAACAAGTTGATATATGTTAAACATAAATAGCTAGAATTCAGGGAAAACCATTTGTTATGCCTGAAGTAAACCATGCCATAAAAATTGTCCCACGAACTAGTTATTTTCTTATTCCACATATTTTCTTCTGAAATCCTCTCTTACAATAAATTTCTAGACAATTTTACCGCACGAAATTTTATTCATAAGTTAAGATAAGTATCACGATAGTCACTGCACACTGCTCTTATCATGGTGAAAACATTTTGACCTTCATAAAGGTACCATTTTTTCTGAATTAGCAAGGCCAATCGGATTTAGCACGAATAAAACTCCCCCCAACTGAACGTTTACACAGCATATCCTCACAGCTAGTAAACAGTTAATTTTCTGTTTAATTAAGTTAAATGCACAACAATTAATCCAATTCCTATTAATTGGATTAATCTTAATTTAGCAAAGTTCATTATTTAATTTCATTGAAATGTAGGCTAGTTCATTTTGATAAATTAATTTTGAATGCATCACTTAATATTTATAAGTCCATCGGAAATGAATCATTCGTTTAAAGCGTTTTTTAGCTAAAACTGAATAAGATGTAAGTAAGTTATTTTGAATGCCTGGTAGTGCATAGAAAAGTATAACAAATATACCACTAGAGTGATCTCGTATGACTTACAAACAATTCAAATTAAGAATTGCTCAGTTTCAGCCCTTTAAACATGGTCCACACATAATCCATCAGACACATTTGAGCTACTCTGGGAAATGGTGGATTAAGATACTAAAATATAACGTAAACCACTGCTCTTGAGAACAAAATCAATTGTTAGTTTCTGGCACAGTTAAACGCAATGCTCTGAAGTCTATTTACTTGTGTTAAAATAGTAACTGCAACTCTACTTTCATAGCAGTGTAGATAGCGTGTTTTAAACAGATTTTGATTAAGACACAACACCCAGATAAAGGAGGTAGATCCGGAATGGCGTAAGGTCTGCAGGATGTTTGAAAGCAGTACTATGGGCCATAATAGATAATGATTGCAAACGATGGAGGCAGTCGGTCATTTGCCAACCCCCCCCCCCCCATTCACCATTCCCCATGAGGGATAGTGATCGGTGATTCTATAGTCTCGTCTAGTTAATGGTCATACCAAGCTCCCAGTTCAGGTTTCTACTCAATGTGCGTGAGTTTATTTAAATTTGGTCAAACAAGATTATGAACCTAATTCTAATTCACTTAGGGGTATATATATATATATCGCTTTCCTTTTCAGTTAATGCAAGCAATTATTAATGAGACCTTTTGACCAAATGAATTGAATAGACTAATCTGAATTTCTAGTAACTTTGCCATTGTCCATGAACAAAGTAAGCTGTCATTCACAATAATAATCACTAATTTAGTGCTGGAATGCACTTCCTGTAATATAATTCATTGGGCGGTTGCGCAAATTTAAAGATCAGTCAATGCGAGCTTTCTGAGACGCCATAGTTCTACCAAACAGTGACATCAGATGTAAACATTCTGATTGATATGACAGCTGGGCCTCTAGCCAATAAATGCTAATCACAAGGATGTTTATAGTACTAGATTCTAGAAATTCACATCTGAGCTCTGTGTATTTTAAGCGTGTCGGAATGCTATTACCCTGCTAAATGGCGGTAGGTTGTAAATACATTGTTTCACCCACCCATTCAGTGGCCTCCTTTTGGAATAAAAGAGCAACTGTAAATTGTTAGCTTCAACACAACCGGCACAAAATGACAAATCCTATTGGTGGGCCTTCAATATGTGATGTATACTGTACAAATAAAAGTAGCTCTAAATCGATAAACAGAATAAAAAGTAAATTTATTTGTTGAATAAATTCAAAGAAATTAAATAAGGTAGATTTTATAACTTATTAAAAAAGGAAAACAGCATCTATTAATTTCAAAGGTTAAACATTATTTTTTTAATTCTCCAAAAGAAAGCTATCTTCCCGAATAGAGTTTCTCGAAGACGAATACGCAATCTAAAGTAGTAGAAAAATATATGCATCTCTGCGCAAATTCCAGTGTAACCAGAAGGGACATTAGAGTTTTGCAAACAGCTTATGAGTATTTCAATTAACAAGAGAAAGCGAATGAACATGGGGCATGTCTTCTTTTTAAACTTTATTTTCGTCCATGAACTAAGAGTAATCCTTCTCAGCCGTTCACCTCAATAAATGGAGTTATCGACAAGGTAGCACTGGAATAGATTAAAATATTTAAAAACAAAAAGAAGAGACGAAAGGACGAGAGGAACAGGAAGTATTCTTTTACCTGACAGAAACACGAGAAGCCTGTAATCAGTGAAATGTTTCTAAACCCTATGTAAAATTTAACGGAGCCTGCTGTGAATATCATTATTTTGCTAGACACACTTACCTCCCCAAGGCTAAAATAACTGCAGGAATAGATTCAAGAGGTATGGACAACCGTGTATTGGGATCTAATGCCCACTTAGCTCGGTGATTCGAGGCCACAAATTCAATTTAAACTTATAGATCAAATAATATAAAGTAAGTTTAAAAAACATTAGAATATCTCAAAGGAAATCCTATCCTTTATGTGCAAATAAACAACTCGAAGCTTTTAACACGGAAATAAAGCAAATGTTCCTCGTATCCTGACTTCATTATGCATTCATAATCTATCCCTCCCCCCCCCCATTTATTTCATTCCAAGCTAATTATCTTTATTTGGCGTATTTAAATGCTATTCCACGACCGAGATTGATTTATTATTTGCATTGCCATGGGTACTAATAATGAATGGTGAAAAAAATTTTTGTCATTTTATCTGCCATTAAAAGGGCGAAACCAATTGGGTTGAAACCCAACAACAATATTATTACAGCCAGTGGGAATGGCAAAGCATTTAATTTTAACTGTATTTGAATTAAACGAATGAATAATTACTAAACCATGCTTTTAAATTATTTTCCATCCTATCAGTTTGAATCTGACGCAACTAATGCGATGATTAGTTTAATAAATAAAATCGTGCATATCAACAAGAATAAGGCTAAATGATATTTCAGCAATTGCAAAAACAAATTCTAGTCTTTAACTGGAAAGAGGAAAAATGAGCAAGGAAGGGGCAAATTTTATTGCCAAAGACGGCAATATATGTTTGATCGAAGGCCAAATGCCTTCTTTGGCAGAAAATAAATCACCAACTCCAGTCACTTAGAATTTCATATAAAATTGAGATTGATCACTGGAGCCAGTAGACAGTAGATCAAGTGCCGTTGGCTTTTTTGGGAAAGGCTTATAATGAACGCCAAAATATGTCCAACTACTTCAACCACGAGAAAGACTTGATTATTAAGGCCGCGCATCGATGTTGCAAAAAATATCAAGAACCTTAATTTAACAGACGATTTTAAAGAGATTCGGAAAGGGAAAGAGGTCAACTTGAACTAGACAGGGATACTGCATGAACTAGCACCTATCGCGTTCTACTTTAAAAGTAAAAGGAGAGAAAGAGTGAATGTTTGTATGCGTGCGTCAGAGAGAAGATATTGATTCCAGGGGGGGGGGAACTATCATAGACATGCGTAAAAGGGCAGCGTACCTCAACATCGGAAGTTGAATATTGAAAGAATGTCGGCGCGTAGAGCCAACCTTTAACGGTGACTTGAACTGGACGTTTTTGGTGGAGATTGCTTAGTCGGCAGTAAATCTCAACGCAAACGGGCTTCCCGAATTTATGACCCTTACGACCACATTGAATAACCTTTAAGCAACAACAACAACAAAATTAAATAGAAATCAAGTATTTTAATTAAGCATTACTTTAATATAGGAAAGTTAATATATATATTAATCTTGATTAATGGGCGAGGCTTTAGGTAATCCGGTCTTACGAGTAAATTAATTTTTTTATATCAAATCAATATCAATATCATTAGCCCTTTAGTTGACTTCAGGCTTCACAGAGTGGATGGAACATCAAAGTGAAAAAAATTCGAGAGGGGGGGGGGGGATGAAGAGCTTCAAAGACGAAGTTAGAGAGGTAGAAAAAGGTGAGGTGAGTACTGTGAAAATAGTCGAATATGACATACGGTGGGGTTATGGTAGTTTGAAGTCAGAAGTCAACTGCCGGTTGATAGACTTTTTTGCCGTATGAGTAAATGTTGCCCAGGGTGCACCACGTGGAGATGAGTCTATCGCACACTCCGTCTTACGAGTAAATAATAATTATCGCATTTCATGATCTTTCCGTAGATAGAATCACCCGCTGTCTCAGTTAATAAATGCCGTTCTTTTCTTTTTTCATTGACCTATCGCCTCAGAATACTTGTGGATGGGGTAGCATTTACAGTTATGCCATTGTAATTTGTTATCCTATTATTATTATTATTTTGGAGTTTTGATTCTGACTCTGAAGTTACATTTTTTGTGTTTTCAATGGCGTTCTCGTCATGTTTTACGGGGAACTGGTTCTAAATCATGAAAACTAATTTAATCTACAAAATCGTAGGTTGAATTTCACACTTTCTTTGTTTATTTAGTAATTAATTTAAAAGTCACTGGAATTTCAACATCGGAGAGTCAACTGGAATAAATGGTACTTGGGTGTTATTTTTGTTATTTCCTCGTGAATAGCGCTGTTTATCCGCAGCGCCAATTTGTACGAAGTCATGATATTAGGTACAGGGTTAATTTATATGCGAATGGTCTATTCAAATGTCAGCATTATTTAAATGTTTCCTTCTTTTTTCTTTGCTGCTCCTTTTAATTTTTTCGTGTAGTTTTATCAATAAAAAAAGACAAAAAACACGAAAGTTAATTTGACTTCCCATTTAATAATAGTTTAGTTAAAAATTACTTTTTTAGCTGCATTTTGGCTTATTAGATACACTTTCATAGACATTTTNCCTCCTTGGGAATACGTCGGAAAGAAACCTTCTGATAATTATATTTTCCATTGAATCGTCCAGCTGCTGCATCGATTGAGTTACTATAGTTCCCGTTATAATCCCATTCCAAAGGATCGATGATTTGTGCACCCGGTGAAGTTGGGAGTTCACGTCGAAACCGCCTAACAGCTTGCTCTAGAATGTGAGAATGCGGTCTCTTTAATTCTGATTAATTATTTATGATACATAATGGAATGTAGTTTATAGAGGAGTCAGACTGCTAGTTAATATTTTTTGTTTGAAATATTCAGAATACACCATCCAATTGAATTAATTTAAACAAAACTTATACTACCACCTTTCTGCTCCTCCAAAACCTTAACCTACCGAACAACATCTAAGGAAAAAGGTGGCTTTGTTAACCACTAGATAAGAATTTAAAATAAATAGCTAGGTTTGATCTCTCTTGATTAACTAATATTTATCAACAAGCTTGGAAGATCGTGGACAAGTTTGTGCTGAAATCTAAGCGACGAAACCTGAATTTCGAACCATAGAACGTGAGTTGTACAATTAATAGGCATTGTACAAGCTGTGCACAAATATCAGATAAAGTAGGATCCATTGATATATATTGGGGCCTTGGGGTGTGCGATAGACTTACCTCCACGTGGTGCACCCTGGGCAACGTATACTCATACGGCAAAAAAGTCTATAAATCGGCAGTTGACTTCGGACTTCTAACTACAAGACCCCACCGCATTTCATATTCGACTAATTCCACAGTACTCACCTTTTTTCTACCTTTGTGTCCGTCTGTCTCTTTTACGTCTGTGAATCATTATTCTGTCCCCCTCTCGACTTTTTACCAGTTGGATGTTCCTCCTTCTCCCCTCTGTGAAGCTCGAAGTCAACTAAAGGGCCAATGATACCTATCATAATGCCTGCCATTTGAAATAAATAAATAAATAAATATTGGCGCCCATATAATCATCTTTTAGAATTCTTTCTCTTTTCTTGTAGAAAACACCGTCTAGTAGTAAATCAATCGAACCATTTAAAATTGCCACAAGATACAAATAACTTATTTTATATCACTAGTGCTAAGAGGCAAGCTGACATTTTTTAGTGAACTGTGTTCATTTGTTGACTTCATAAAAATGAAGAGGCAATGAATTTAGGAGAAGTTTGCATCAAATATTTCCCATCAAAAGTATCCGGTAAAACAAATTAATCATTCTTTAGCAATGAGATTCTTAACTGCTAGATCATCACCAAAAGTTTTACACCAGTTTGAGTATGTTAACTACTGGGCCATATTTAACGCCTGAAGACTAGGCTTGTCAGTTGATTAATGACACTCTATTCCAAGAAAGGTGAATTGTTAGACAAGACACTCAACACAATGTAGTCAAATCCCAGTTGACTGGAGAAATAAGTTAGTTTATCGGATGACTCAATCCTTAGAACGAAAAAAAACAAAGAGCGTTTGCACCAGTCAAGAAAGCAATATGCAGTTCTTGACACTCAAGAGAGCTTAATACCTTGAAAGGCAGGTGTGTTCACACGTTCATTTAATTTCGTCCAGCATTTCCCAGGGCTGTGAATGGGGTCAGCTTTTTAACAGACTCCAACTTGTTTAATGCGCATTCGTGCCTCAAATACGTCCACATTGCACTTAATTAGAGAACCTTAGTTGGACAATGAAGTCAGCGTTTATGCACGCATATGTCGTGTGTTTAAACGGTACTTAAAGGCTGCGTAGGCACACGCTATAAAAGAATAGTAATGCAATTTACTATCAATTTATGTGCTCATCATTAGTGTGTATCTTACTTTCGACGTCAATATAAAAGTGCTGAGTGCTATTATTCTAAAAATTTTAATTAAGCGTAGCCTTTCGACAAATTGACTAATATAAAATAAGAACGTTTTCTAATAAATCAAGAATTACACTCTTATTTCGAGCACTAATTTATTCTAAAATTTATCGATTTTATTATGGTTAAAATGGAACTCGTTTATTGTCAAACCATCTATTGTGACGATCTTCTAAGTTAATTTTGGTTATTTACAAATGCGTTTAGCTCCCAAAGTGAATTTCAAATTCACTTCACCCATTATATACTCACTATGGATGATACGTAATTACTGAAGGTATAAAATTTTTATGAGATTGTATGTGAAATCGAACTTTCACCATTCAATATCCATAGGCTGCCTATAAAATGGAATGATTTCAACTTCCATTGGGTGAAAACATAAGTTTACAAACAAAATTCGAATAGACATCATAAAGAATCGCATTATTGCAGCAGCAGCAATTAGAAGACTTTTAAATTCAAATTATGATTTCAAAATGACGCTGCGCCTACCATCTAAATTAATTCAAGATTCCTCATTTTACCGAAGTTGTGAAGTAGCACTTTCAATAATTACGGAATGCACAATTTAATCCTCCCACAAATTTTCCACATTATTATTCTTAAGCCAAGTTTTTTAATAGTTAAGTAGTCATAGGACTTTTATGTCAACTAAATCATAGAGATTTGCAATATTGGAAGTCATCATTACATTGCATGTGGAAAATTGAAAATAATTAAAATTGAATCGGAACCAATAAGTAAACATAAGTATTATAACGGTAGTAAATCTTTTTTTATGATCACTAAATTGCCAGAACATTAAAAATGCCGCAGTTTCGTTCATTCGCCTTCCTGTCAATTATTTTGAAAGTAAGTGAGCACATTAATCCACCATCCTCTTACCGAATCCACAGTGTCTGGGAAGTTAAACACTGAAACGTAACCTTTTATCAGACCAAGGAATTTATTAATGTAAACAAAATTAAACCAAGGAAAACAAATGAATGCCTAAAATATTAATAACTACAATGCTGCAAATAACCAGTGCTTTAATTATTTTGTCAATAGACAAATACAAGTACGATTCTTGGCTAGTTGTGTGATGACGGTCTATGCGCTGACAACATTAAAATAGAAGAATAAAAATAGTGCGGTTGCTGAGAGTAACAGGAAGTTGATTTGGCTAAAACAGCTTTAAAGAAAAAATGAGAACAAGTGCCACCTATTCCTTTAAAATCGCGTCATTTAAAAAAATTATGACTCTGCTCGAAATGTTTACAAATTTCACTTTATTGCAATGTTGCAAATTAGGGCGTGTTCGATTAATTGTCGCCAAGGTCAGTAAGATAGTCCTAGAAAATATTTTTTCCAATTATCTAGCTGGACAAATCTATGGTAATTTACATTTACTTATGCAGGATATACATTGTTGAACATCAGATTATATTTTGGCAAATGTCCTCATGAAAAAAATCAACAATATATACCATTTCCAAATCTGCACAACATTGTCTGATAAATATCGGTCCCTTTTAGTTGGCGAATTTCTGATAACACTTTTTATAACTACAGATATTTATTAAGCATGAAAATTAAAAACTCACATTTTATTGCTAAATGTCCTCAATGTAATTGATCGCCTTAAGGTCTATTGGCTATATTTTCCGTTAAGGTTTATCCGCAGAAACGTTCATATACTTATTAGGATAGATTATTCTGTTCATTGTCTCTTAAGTTTCGAGTTTAAGAAAATTTTTAATTAAAGAACCAATAAGGTGATTCCATGCATTTCAACTAACATTCCTCGTTTACTTAACTAACAACTATTTCTCCATGCCAATTAGAACTAACTGCCATACCAGAAATTTTTATCTAAATATGAATATGAAGAAGATTTGAGATTTGACAATCGAATAAATCTGGGTTTTGCCTTAGAAAACGATGACTAGATGAGTCTTGTCACATTCACAGAGGAGAATTTAATAAAAAAGAAACATGGTGAATCAATTATTTGGAGCCGACTAAATCCTTACATATACATTTCATTTAAGGAAATTTTATTACTCTTTATATTAATATTCCAAAAATTCAATTAACGCAACATTAATAACCAGAAGTATCTAAGTAATTAAATGTTGTCATCGAAAGCTAGATCTGTCCCGTCAAAAAATTTTGCTATGAAATGAAATGCGCGTCTTATATTATATCCGGAGGAAATAGTTATTGCAATTTTCAAAGGGTGATTGTAAATTCCATTAAAAAGGGTTTTTAAAGTGTCAAAGATTTTTTTCTAAATTCGCATTTTGAAGTTACAAGGTCAGTGTTTTATGAAAATCTAAGTTGAAGTAACATTTGCTTTCCATGCATTTCAGACAAAATGGTGGTTTCTGGTAAAGTTATTACATTTTATTTGTTCATTGTTGGAAAGAGAATTATAAAGTTTTTCGAACCACATTCTCGGTTGGTAAAATTAGTAGCATGAATGAGTTAAAGTCAGTCAAGTTTAGACACCCCAGTTATCAAATACAAGCTGCTTTGAACGCTAGTTTTCATGTGAAGTTGCTTTTATGAGGATAATTTATTCCTCGTGTGTATTAAAGTTTACCCTATTGATACTTATAAACGATCACATTTGATTAACCATCGGTCTTGATTACAACTTATAACAATTTAATTATATTAAATTTCAATTTAATGTGCCAATAAGAGAAAATTTTAAGTAAATATATGCATGCTTTTAATTTGGAATCCGCAAGGGTTTTATTAGCTTTAGTACAGAGGTCATATCACTGTTCAGCTAGAAAAAAACTAATGTTTCATACTTTTTCATAAAATGCGACATTTGAGCCAATAGAAGTTCTAATTCGATCGCAACCAACCATAAGCTTTCAAGGTCAATTATACTTCGCTTCCACACTTTCTGCAATTAATTAACACAGTTACAATAATAATTATGTCATTTCAAAAGGACAGTAAATAAGGTCCTAAGGTAAAAAATGGGAAAATGTGAAAAGTTAACCAAGTAAGCAAATATCATAATTCTCCAAGTGAAGAAGTCTAAAGTTTTATTTTTTTCCCAAAACTCCCAGTTGACCAATTTCAGTAACTAATCTTCGTAATGTCTTGGCACCTCCTTTTAAGATGACTTGGAATAAAAGATTTAGGATGACAGTAATCTCATCAATGAGCAAGAGAGAGAGAGAAACAGTGAGAGGTGGATTATCACTTAAACTGCATACTTCGCATTGATTAAAATCAATTTATTACTTCGATTTACTCCTTCACGGTGTCAATTAGGACTTAAGAAGCACTGTTAGCAAGGAAATACAGACTAAACCCTACAGATTATTTAAATTTTTTCTCTATTTGGCATGAGACTTGGAAATGCACATAAGTATTCTAATAATAGTGGTAATTAAAAACTACTAATACTCTATCTTAAATGAAATTTACCATAGAAAATTCTAAAGTTTTCAAATTGATGACTCATATTTTGACAAACTCAGGTGCCTGACTTTCAGATACCGTCTTATGGCATTCCAGAATTGCATATTTTGGCAATATAGACAATACTAACCAAGCGTCTTTTTACAATCGTAAGTAAATGTTCATTGTGTGGTCTGAGTCACAATTACATCAAAATAGAAAAAAATTAAATAAGGAACTTGGATTTCACCATAGAAATACTAATGTTTTAAAAAAAAATTATTATTATCTTTTCACTAAATTTCAAGGTGTTAGACCTCTCATATCAATAATGCGAAAATGCATAGAAAACAACATGTTAAAAGGTATTTACTAACCGTTGAGATCAATTCCAATCCAGCCATTCGGATTAACTAATGATTCATCGCCGTACCAGCATCTATATGCCTCATTAACGCCATCAAGGGCACCTGTTAATTCGACTTTAGGTCGGAGAGAAACCCATTCCATATCAATTCCATTTGCCAGGGGTGCTCTTACTTCATTGAAAAGGTAAACAAGGGGTTTAGGTTTATCCTCCAGTTTGACTGGAACATACAATCGGAGTGTCACATTCTCCAAGTACGTAGTAGGTCCAATATACTCCACTCGAAAGGTGTGCAGGATTCGTGGACCCATTTCGTCAACAAGAATTCGATGATGAAAACTCGGGCCAATAATAACTGGTGCTGTCCTATTATCGATTACACTTGAAGGTGCGTGTGTACCAGGAGTGATAAGGTATTTCGGTGCATGCTGAAGACGATAATTCCAAATTACAAAGTTTTTATGCATCTGAGGATCGTAGGTTTGTGAGGAGACGGAAATATTAACATAAGTGGGGATGGAATAATCAATATTACTATTAGTGACATAGAATGTTGTGAGTCTAATTCGCTTTGCTGATTTTGTTGATGCATCTGGGTCAAATTCTAGACGTCCTAAATTACAAGCTACCCAGGAATCATTATTTTGAGGGTGTGAGCAGGCGAATGGTTTGAACTGTGTGCTTCCATTATTCCCTTCTCTGCGCTCTACTTCAAGTGCAGAAAATCGAAGATTGCCATAAAATGCCATCTTAATCCAAACACCACCGGCAAACGTGGGACCTTTGTTAAATACGTCCAAATAAAGCTGGCTAAATGCATTTTCTTTGTCGCCATAAATCAATACCGTTTCCTCAGTTGGTGTAGTCGACTCCGACTCGACCCTCTTACCGGACCTCTCATCTGTAATTCGCAAGAACACGTCACTTTCGCATCTACCCTTTGGCAAGCAAACAAACTTTGTGAGTCGAAGTTGGAAGCTGCATTTTGACCAGTCGATTAGCGGTCGATTTACCCAAGCGCCATTTGAACAAATGTTCGTATTTCCAATGGGCTTAGCGTTGCTTGGACAAGGAATGTTGAACCTATACTGGATTCGAATATCACCATCTGGCTGTCCAAGACTCGGAATATCTTCCACGTCCATTTGAGGCAGTAAGTCGAACTTCAAGGAGAGCACATTATTGTATCGATTCAATTTTAGGTTATTGAAAGAACTTAGCCTAACTCTCTGCTCGGCAGGATCTTTAGCCCAGAGATCTGGGATTATTTGGTGAACTAGATCTTTCATCGTCACGTTTGCTGATTGAAGCACTTGTAAGATATTCTTTTCTTCCACCTTTTTTGTAGGTATTAGTCGAATTTTCAACTTAATTGGAATGGGTATGTTTCTTCGGATACGAACACTATTTAACCAATTGGGTTGATAGAATCTACAGACTGCCTGATAGTGAGGTCGAGAAGCGTATATCATTGGTGAGCAGGATGGGCAATATGGGATAGGAAGGGCAAGATCTGGCCAATTGTTAAAATCCAAATCCACGCCCATTCGAGGCAGTACTGATCCAAAGTAGGTAGCTTTATCGGGACCCTGGATAACCTGAACAGGTCGCCTGTCAAACGTGCAATTGGGCAGGATCCGCACAATGTAAACACGTCCACTCTTCTCTTTATCTCGCAAATTTGGCGAACCAATAGCAATTGTCTCCCTTCCATCACCATCTATGTCTCCTAAAGCTGTGAGTGAATAACCAAGGGCATCATTTTCTTCCTGAGCTGAGATAAAATCGTTATAGCTTTGAGTTGGCACAGATCGTCTATCATCATCATCATCATTATTATTAACAGCAAGATTATTTGGGACGCAGTAGAGGTAAACTCGACCGCCTTTCGCAGCATATGGAGCCCCCACTATAACCGCGTCTTGACCGCCGATGTTTTTCACATTAACCATAGATGTGCCAAAACCAGTAAAGGAGTCTACTTTGTCAACTTGTCCCTGCCAATCAAACTCCACGCCACCAGCTGTCAGTACACCATCAAGGTGGGCGATTTTAAATAGTTGCGTCAACTGCGATAGAGAATTACCTTCATTAGACGTTTTAAAGCTCTCACCCACAGCCGAAATATATTCACCTGCCACTGAATATCCAAAATAACTCTCTGGAAGGGTATTCTGAAGAGTTTTGGGTCGATAGGCTGTGTATGTCCGGGGAAAGTAGAATGGATCAGCTAGAATCTCCGCCTGTCCACAGCCTTTTGCAAGAGGTTGTCCAACAACCACATGGATACTTTTGAGAAAATCGACAAAGCTTACGCTTGCACTCCCCTTTGTCAATAAGTCGATACTAAAACCTGTCATGCAGGGCTCCGTCACCTTTCCACCTGCTTTGCAAAAGGAAGCGAGTTCATGCCGTGGGCGAACATTTTTGTTATGTAGCAGCTGCAAATAACATCGACCTGCCGGGAAATGACTTTCATCCCTCCACAGGGGATCACAATATGCCAGAAGACCCATACTCGGATTTATTTGAAGGGATGCGGAAGTTGCACCAAGGTATGAGGTGTGCTCTAAACCCTCAGACAAGTCATGACATGGGAATGCGAATTTTAATTGACCAGATTCGGAGAGAGTAAAATTGCAAAGCAGGACAATTCCATCTTCACGGGGATAGGGAGTATCCACATTTTTTGACCATGATCCACCCAAGAGAATGTAAGATAAATTATATTGAGATAGGGAAAGAAGACTAACACTACTCCAAGAGAAGTTCTCATCAAATCGTCGTCTCGAAGATTTGAGAGAGTCTAGATTGAAGTTGGGCAAGAGGTAGTGTCTGAAAATTAAGTGGTCCGGTTGCTCAGAAATACTGATTTGCGGATCCCAAAGCCTTGAGTTCCTTTCATCCAGCTCAACAGCCAAATCCACACTTGATTTCTTTTCCAAACAGTGAGTAGGATCATTTTGAAGAGCATTAATTAAGTCCGAGCTAAGAAGACTTATGAGGAATATGACAAATAGCACGCCTGGAGAATGCATTAAGCATGAAAAATGTTAATATGTGTAGACGATATAATGGTGCTTATAATTTGGCTCTAGCTAGGAGTATCATTGCTTTCAAAAGACTGCAAAAATTTTGCTCTTCACGCGTATAGCACTCCTCGGTGCGCGGGAAACTCCAATCATATATGAAAGATGGTTGGCTCTTTCATCTCATTGGCTCTCACCTCTAGCAGGAACCTCATTGGTTCACTGTCGTTCATGTGGATAATCACTGGTTTGAAATCATTTTCCACATTTAGGCAAGAACATTTAAGCAAGATTGACAGGAACTAAAGGCAAAATTGAATAATTCATGTCTATTCAAATTAGTAAATTGTGTATTACACTAGTATTATATGCAATAAATGTTGGGGAATACTACTTATTGAGAATTAGGCTACTTTAGTGCTATTCAAACGGATAGTGAGAAAGTTAAAAATGAATCTACTTGAAGTACTTATTTCTTTTTTTCCCCTAATTCAATGCCAATCATAGGAATGTTTGTGGATTTTTTTAAGAAATCTTTTTTCACACGTATTCACTTCAATAAATTAGTAAAGTAGCAAATTTGACGCTCGAAAAACGACTTCGCTGCATAGAACAACAGTTAGCTGGATTTTTAAATGAACAATGTGGGATTTTGCGACCGAACCCTTCTAAATCTCATAAATTTGTTAAAGGTCACACAGGATATTTAATGGCAAAAATGTTAATAACTTATTTCGTTAAGTTAAATGGCTTTGAGCTTAAAATTAAGTAAAAGACGTTCACGATGCAATTTGATTTTGAAAGTCGGAAGTACTAAAATAAATAATGGGATGAAAAAGATCTAAATCCTGAAGCAATAGAAATGTCCTAAAATTTTTCAGAACTTAGCTGCTATTGGGGAAGATATCTCTGATAGAGATCGACGTTAGTCATTCGAATTTTCTGCGCGCCAAATGAAGACATTTTTATTCAATGAATCATTCAAAAGAAATGTTGCATTTATCCATTAAGACTTGGAGAAAGCATTCAATATAAATGTGTCTAAAGGAGATATGGTCTCTATCCATGAGTAATAGTTCACGTAAATTAGGCTATTGCCCTCTGCATGCTAAGTTTTTCATTGTTTCAATCATGACTCATTCGCCTTCCACCAAGAAGTTAATCACTTTGTCTTTGCTGATAACAGCACAGTTCCTTCCGTTTTTTTCCTACGTTGCTCCACTTTGGCTCAGACACTTCTTTATTTGCCTGCTTACTCTCTGCCAAGTAGAAGTATTCACCCAATGTCCTTGTTTATCTTCGATCGTGTTTCATCGATCCTGTTAGTTCCCCCCCCCCCCCCCCCCCCCATTAGTATCAACCAAATTTCGCTTTCATAAGTGTAAACTATCAAGAAACAATTCATTCTTATCATTCTGCTTAGTTTGGTAAATATCAATTTATAATGCAGTTGGCTATGGGCTTACAAAAACAAAGCGTAATTTACCGCCAGTTAAAAAAATCCAATTTCCTTGACAGGAAAAGCGGCATTATCTATTGGATTTACATTAAGTTGGCACTATAATTCAATTTCAATTTGTTTTCATAAAAAGTAACATTAAAATTAAATTATCGTCCTCCTCCATGTCTGGTTCAAAGTCATGACCTTCAAAAAGAGCGAAAGGGAAAATCAATAAAAATAGTTTGACATGATTTATTAATTACTAATTTATTATCTTGCCCATGACCCACGAAAAGTATTATGCAAATGTGATTTCCATTGGGCCCTGAAGGAAAACAGTCTCAGTTACCAAAAAGCTTTGGCAGTTTGACTAACAATTAACCCACGCAAATGTCAGGTGAGCAAATTAGAATGCATAATGAAAATAAATACAACTGGCAAGAAGTAACAACGATTACTTAGGCCTTTATTAGACACAAAGGTTTTTATTCAAAAGCTAATTGGAGAAAATTTTTTTTACCAACCATACCACTTCACGGATCTATCTAAATTTTTGTTTAAATTTGATCATATCTGAATGTACTTAGGTTTAAGATTGTCATTCTGTTTAATAAACTACTTATCATCATTAATAAAAACAAATGTCTCCGAAAGTGGGGAATTTGCCATGAATGGAGGTCATTGCATACGCATAATATTGCTCTCCTCTGTAAAAAAGAGATTTCATTTAAGAAGGAAACTCAAAACCGATTTGGATCAATAAAAACCTGAGGCTGTTGTAAAATTACAATGGGAATAACGGGAAGGGAAACATGAATTGGCACTGTCGGGAGCTGCCATGGTGGACCTTGCGTTTGAAAATAAATATAGCGTTTAAGAATGCCAAGTCAACTTAATTTTTGCCGAACTCCATGCGACAATGAACGTCTTGAAAGGCTCAAAATACTAAAATACAAGCTACTGGTAGTGTCGTGCTATCGAATATATTCGCTATATTATGAGTGATTTATGAAATCTGAGTCACATTGAGTGCCAGATCGCAAACTGTTTGTTCATTTTATAAAACTGAAAGTTTGGTGAATTCGTGGATTCGTGATCCTATTTTCGTAAAGTTCCACCGTTTCTTGAGAGGATACAAAGAAAAGTGCATTTTTTCCTCAAAGCTTCACCGCTTTGCATTTTCTACCATATTTTATGAAAAAGAATAAACATAGCTTTTCTCTGTCTGTATGATATGCACAAATTCGCATAGGTTGGAAAAATGAATGAAAAAATTCGAGCGTAATTAAGCAATTACGGTTTAATTCTCTAGTCCAAGGGAAGTTGCGACGCTCATTTGGCGACAGTTATGGCCGAGGAGGAACTAACTGAGGGTCTCGATTAAAAAGGGTGTTTTTTCAATCAGATACGAGGATATATTTAGCAAGGCAGTTCGACTATATTATTTTTCAAGGTCATGTGGCATCAAGCTATAGTTCCGAGCAGTACGGTAAAATGATAATAAATCTTAGTACTTTTGAACAACTTATACCCATATTACTTAATGGATATTACTTATTTTTGCCTTTAATAAATGCTAAAATCGATATTTATAAAGGAAAAAAGATATCTATTTCATCACGTGCCAAATCCGCCGTCACCGAATAAATAAATTCAACAAGTCGATAAGGAAATTCTAATAGATTCTGTATTGTTAATCTTATAGAAATAAATCATTTAATAATTGTAATATCTATATTGGTTGGAGTTTGTTAGATTTGTTGTATAATTATCTATTTCATTATTTAAAAGGCCTCCTTGTAGTCAGATATGCAGCGTACTGTAACTGCACGCGTGCAGTAAATGTAACCCAGAGAGAGTAAACACGTTATATCCACAATTACCTACACTATTATGACAATTAGACTGTTAGGATAAAAAATGCGGACAACTTAGGAAATGAAAAAGTCAATCATATTCAAGTTGTTGTGTCTCAAAGGCTATCCATTATATAGTCCCACTGTGAGGGTACGACTATTCCAATATTCACGACGGATCACCTAATCTTTCGATTCACACAAGATTTCCACCGCTGATATTAACACTAAAGAGTAATTTTATTCAATTTTCATTACTTTGAACTTTTATCTATTTATTTTTTTCAAAGAAAAATGTCTGACAGGAAAACTTAGAACGAAGCGAACGTGGTCGTTTCCTTGACTATTTACGGTCACTCTAATGTACTAACCAAATTTAAAAAGAGCTTTTGCCTGCAGAGAGGAAATGGAATTCTCCATAACTTTTTCAATGGAAAAATCTATGGTAATAGGTGTTACAATATTAATTAACCACGGATAACTTGCCTACTTAAGTAACAAGCAGTATCAGATAAACATCGATGTAAAAAGAACTCCTGAAACAACGTGGCCAATTTTCTCCTAATTACATTTAAGATCGTTAATTTTTTGCGTGTTACAAACCTGGAGTATCTTCGATGGAATATGGCAAGTCATTCGCATAGGTAGAACACACGTCAAGGTTGGAAGTCCTGAAGTTTATTTCTTACACATTTGTTAACTCACTTTACGTCCAATCTTTGTTATCTTCGCGTGATGAAGGTTCCTTGAAATACTGCTTTCGATTTGCGACCATGCGGAACCTCCGATTTTTATTGATATGTCTACCTCCATTTACTACTGAGTGACATATGGCTCGAAGAATATTCCATGAGATTCTCATTTTTTCCCATCTACCTAAGTTTATTGAGTGTTCGTTCAAATATGCCAACTGTTTTGCCTCTGCTTGTGTTCATTCACTTCAATCTAATTATCGATAATATAAAAACCGCAATACTAAAAGGGTGTAAAATAGATTCAAGATATACAGATTGAAGGCGAGAATAATTCCCGCGCTTACTTTCTTAGATTTTCTGCAAGAATTCGTCATGTCGTTTGGCAGGGTAAGGATCAAGTTGTGATGCTTCTCTAAAGTTATTTCGTTTGAAACTATTCCATCTTTATAATTTCCTTGTTTATATCAACTGAAAAATCAGCCTGATTAATGTAATATACATGTGTGCTTGAAACATTCAAGATTAATAAGTGATAGCACTAAATGAATTTGAAAGTTCCCTTCATATTTTGTATGAAAAATACAGATACTTTCTTAAAAGAAGTTTTCATTAAATTTTGTCATGGATCAATCTGAATAATTATGCATAAACAGTAATAACAGCTACGAATTTAATATTTGAAATAGAATTAAAAAAAAAACATTTTGTCAACCTTGAATATTTCCTGTGTAGCCTAGATAAAGAATCCTTCGGAATTCTCAAAATATTTAAAACCATTAGAGATCTTGAAAATGTTACCTGAAAATCGATTTGCATAAAATAGCGGTGGAAAGCAGACCTACTGTTTTGCACCATTCTCATTTTTCATGAAACTTTCTTGAAATCCTTTTCAGAGGCAAGGATGCACGCTTAGCTTTAGTAATGATTGGCAATGAAGTCGTCTAACACCCCTTTTCATTTCCCTTCAGGGATATTTCATACTTGAAACCCCACCCAATCCCTCGATTGAAACTCAGA